TTACGGATGGATAAAACCATGGATATGTATTTCTCTGGCAAGAAATATATCCGTTTCTCTTTTCGCATTTCGATTGTTTCAATTTGTGCATCGCGAAATATCCTATGTCGATGTTTATCAGCGCGTAAACTGTTACTTCCTGGGAATTTTCCACGGTAGAAACATACAAAGGCAAATACGATTTTTCGGTTTGATTTTCATGTCTTTACCGTGCGAAAATTCGGCAATTTTTATCTTGTAAAGTAACGCGTCGACGATTGATTTGTTGAAATTCTAGTAATTCCCGCTATTTAACTGAATCAGCTAGCCGAAATTATCAATAATCGGGTTCTCGTACCAACCGCGTTTCGTCCACGAGAAGCCACTTTTACCCGATATCGATATCGATATCGATCCTGCAGCTAGATAGGTAGCACGTATTTGAAAAATTGGCGTATTCGTTGTTAGTTTGCATTCACACATTGCGCAAATTGGCGTAGATTTCCGCCGATTTAGCAACATTTTATTCCATCGATCAACGATTTCAAGCTATGCATAGAGATTTAGTTACAAAGTTATTTAATTACAAACATTCATACACCCTAGATCGTTAAATAACTAATATTCAGTTCCTGCAATATTTCGATAAAACGATACGAATGTAAATCAAAGGAACTATGAAATAACAGACACAGCTTTAACGTCGCTGATCTCGTAAATCAGGCAACAAATTTTTAACCGATCAAGTATGCAATTTCATCCACCGTTTTTCTCCATCGTTGTACCACTTTCGGAACCAATAAAAATTTATCGCAAATAACTGGCCTGTTCACCGTGAAGCTTTCCACGAAAACGTTCCGCGTACGAGTTTTCGCGCGACGTTACGACGCAAATTGAATTAATTTATCGCGACTGAGATGAACGATGGAACAGCACTGCTTGCTATCTTCTCGGCTATGCGGAGCTCGCTGATATCGTATTCATACGCGTGAACACCACGTCTCTTCATGAACAGCGGCGAACCTCGTTTCCACAGCGAGCCCGTTATATCAGCCTGCGTTTCATTTCGCATTAAAACATCGTTCAATCTTATATTCCCTTCGCTCGTTGTTTTCTACCTAGAGTGGACAATGACGATGCGTGCGTAACGTTTTCACTTTGTGCGACGGTTACGTCGTGCCTCGGTACGGAAATATTATTTCTTAACATTCTGCGTCCAATTTAATTTATAAGTATTTCTTCGCTCGTTTGTTAAATAACGTTCGTTTTGTTAAATAGTCACAGTCGAATTCAGACGCATTGCATCGATGTTTCGATACACTTAAAGTGTCAAGTATCAGGTTGTCCGAAAAGTGTCTTTCTTCCACGGACGCGTCCTTTACAACGATGCATCTTTATACAAACATGAGACCTAATCTGTCGAACGTTGTGATCTGTATTTTGATAAAACAAAATGGATCGTACGTAATTCGATGAAATAATATAAAGCGGAAATTGTTGCGCGTCCATTATTTCCTTGTAAAACGAAAGAAACTTATCGGACGACTAATATTAAGTGGTATATAGTATTTGTGTTCGATACATCGTTTGAATTTGCGTCAGATTTTTACAAATGTCGATCTATGCTTTTCTATTTCGTGTATATTTTATTTGAAATAGCGTTGGAAGTTTTTACCAGTAACCCCTTCGTAACAGTAGGACGAATACGTAGATTTGAAAAATTTTCGAAATGCATCGATTTCAATGATAAAGTACCGACCAGCGACTGATAAATTTAGACGCATGAAAAGCAAAAGCGTGCGATACGATCCTATATTTACGGATACCACCGTTAATTTTACGACGTTCGTACGATAAAAGTATTCTACACGTGTTTCAACGAGATCTAGATTATATGAAAAATTTCTTTATCGAAGTGGGTAAAAAGTCGCGTTAAAATATTAGCTGGTAAAATAACTATCAGTTATTCTAGCTTTAAATACTTTACCGTGTTACTACCGGTATATGGAAGTTATACGGAAAGAATAAAAATTACAAGTAAAAATCTTAAAGTAAAATTTTCGGGAAATTTTGGTGAAAGGGTATAGTTGAGGAGAAACGCCGGAAACGAGCGTAGGAGTGGCGGAAGAGAGAGCGAGGAAGTTACAAAGAGAAAGTCTCAGAAATAAAAGTACGAAAGAAAGTGGAAGATGGCGCGGACAATGGTGGAAGAAGGTGCAGGTTACCGAGTCCTTTTTAGAAGTTCCGTCGTTGCGACGATTCTATAAATCTTCTGGCTTCTTCGGTTGGAATTTCCCGGCGCTTTTGCTTCTTATGCTAATCGACGGCCGAGATAAATGATTTTATATCCTGACTCGTGCCTCGCTAGGTTTTAATAACCACACGACGAACTGATCGAAAATGCTAATCTCTGTTCCCGATGGATACCAGTCGCACGGATTAATTACATTTGGCTTGGAACATCGTACCGTGAATGCGAAATTAAGGCGCGATTATTAAAATCGTCAGTGCTCGAAATTATCACTATAATATATAATATTAGCATTGTAATATCGTCGTGCGATATCTTGGCACAGATCATATAACGTTCTTTTAACCACAAGATATCAGAATTTCTTTCCTTACTTTATGCGATTAGAGCGAACCGTTTCGCGAATTTCATTCGTATTTATCGCTACACGTAACGAAATTCGAATCGAGCCAGTTCTTTTATCGAGGAACGAGATTCGACGATACCGCGATGTTTCTCGAAAATTTACACAGACGGACAGACGTATTAATTCCGTGACGTTGAAAGGATATCGGGAAGCGAATCAAAGCGGCAACCCCGTTTTTCCCTGTAAAACATGGAGCGAGCGATTTATCGTTTCCAGATACGCTACCACGTGGCAACGTATTTTATTGTTTCGACTGGAACGTTGTTAGATTTTTGTTACGACTCGATGAAACGCGCTCCTTTCGCGTGACGTATCACGAGAAGGAACTTTGGTTCGATCGAAGACACGACAAGGTTCTATAATGGCCGTGCCAAGGGATTTTGCTGCTTTTTGTCACCTGCAATCTATTGTGGATACGGGTAACACTGTTCCACACGAGGAATTCTGATAATCCTCGATGGAACCGTACCTTACACTGTACGAGTCGATAATATCAAAATAAAAGAGAAATCTCGCAGATAAATTACTCGAATTTTTCTGAGATTCGATGGTCACACACTCGTGTACGTTCGACATTCGCTTCTCCACTCCGTTACGGATAGAATAAGTCGGTGGATCCGCGCGATTTATCCTCCATTTCGACGTTACTATCGGACGTCGGAACACGGCGTCGAATAATCCGACTTTGCCGACGTTTTGCGAACATTCAAGAATATAAAAACGTACGTGTTTGAGGGTTTCCTATGTGTATCGTACTTTGCTGAGATTATGGCTGTTACTCTTAATATTATGGCATCTCCAAGCATTTTTGGTCATCTTGGTCGGACGCTTCAGACATATGTAAGTACTTAATACTTTTGGTACTTTCAAGTGGCTTTTTTCCGGCCAGCGTGAGATATACTGTTGCTATATAACGCGAGTATACAGAGTTAGAGTAACGATCTATATGCCATGAATTTCTGGAAGAAATTGCGAGGGATAAAAAGAAATTGAAAATTAATAAGAATTAATAAGAAATAAATTGGGATAAATTAGGATCGACAAATTGGACGATGTTTCAATTAGAATATTATTTTTCTTCTATGATGTAAAAATCCAGCTGTGTAATTGATTGTGATCGAAAATGAGAAAATCGTAATAGTACAGCAGATATTAAATCGCAATAACTCGTAGCGAATTATCCAAAACAAGATAACAAGTTTTCGCTGTTTTCTTTTTATTCGTGCTTGCCAGCGTTATTTGCAAAGTTGTCTAGCCTTTGTGCGATCAGCATAATCTTTCAAGAAACACCTTCTTCCTCGTTTACTATTAAAAAGAAACTGCTTAAGGTTTTCAAGCGAATTGCATTTCTTGTCAGTTTAAAATGTACCGATAAACGTCACTGCAGCGAAAACACCTTTTGTGTAGCCAGTCGATTACACTTGTAACGAGAGTTTTCTAAAAGCCTTAAAATCCGTGTTTCTCATTTAAAGGCGAAGCAGCTGTTGAAGTTTATACTTTTAGTTTAACAGTTCAGGATAAACGTTTGCATTTTCTATGCTTTGAGTTATGTTTTTAAATTATTATAACATAATAATAATAATCTTATTATCACTAATAATTCATAGTGTTCGTACTCTTCAAAATCCTTTTGTACAGTTTGAACGATCATTTCTTTTGAACTAGCCCAGAATAGTGAAAAAATGTAAGCAACAAAATTCGATTCAGACTTCAAATACGGAGGACATTAAATTATTTTGAATCTCGTCTGTAAGAGAGTCGAGTTATGACGCGATAGGTTGATAAGTCACAAGATCTAGGGTGATGTTCGCTGAAATTGTAACGTGCATTAGGTTATTAGAGGTCTCGCGGTGTGCCCGATGTGTCGCGGTAATCAACATTAGTACGCAAATTGGAAATTCCACATTGACACGCTCGAGCCATGTAAGCACAACTTACTCGTATGTGACTGTGGCACTCTGTGTGAAACGAAATTTACAATAATATCGCTCCTTAACACATTTCATTAATATTCAAGTGCATCTTTCTCGTTAATTCTATTTCTATTCCGTGTTTTATATAATCTTAAATTCCACTCAAAATTAATCACGTCTGTTGCGCTCGTTACCAGTCAATAATAATCAACGAGTATCGAATAGATATGCAATTCACAATCATTCGTTTCATTTTATTCCAACTCTCTCGTCAGAATCCTCGACGATACACTCGTATTACGATCTGGCGCCGGTTTCAAAGCGCGTGAATACCGCGGTATGCGCGTTAGATCGTCGTCATCGATCGGTCGCATAACTCTTCAGGTTAACCGATAATTGACAACAATTTACAGCGGGAACGCGCAACGAATGATACTGTGTTTCGTTTCAGGTTCGACCAAGAGGGTGTAAATCGATCAGGACGAAAAGGGCGAAGGAGAGAAACAGCGACGAAAGCACGGTTTATCAACGATATCCTTTCACGATATCCGCCGGCAAACAGTGCCGTGAATTCGAGATACGTGGTCGATCGTCGGCACGGAAATTACACAATTGCGTCTCCTCCAAGAAGGAAAGAAAAAAAAAACAGCTTCCGGCGCAAGATTAGAGCCCTCGAAGCAAGCACGTTCGTTAATTAAGAAATCTCGAATGGGCTAGTTTAGGCGGAACGGGGATCTGACCAGTTTTTCCTCAAAGGACCAGGGTGAACGCGAGCCAAGTCCGCAGTCGTTGTTAATTATACGCGTTTATAATTAAGCGTTTCACGAGGGTAACTTGGAGTGGTTCTCGGAGAGAGTATGGTCCTTAAGACACGAGCCTGAAAAGAGGCAACGAGACGTATTCGTAATTAGCAGAAGTGATGCTACGTAGCTGAACGAACGATCGAGGCAAAGACAGATAAAAAAAAAAAAAACAAATAAAATCGTTATGAAGTTGATTAAGAAGAATAAAATTTGGATCGACTAGAGGAGCCATGTGGTGGACAATTGGTGAGTAGCTATTTAGATTGAATTTATTTTTTAATTATATTTTAATATTAAATGTATTTTCTATCAAGATGTAAAGATTAATCAATTTAGTGTAACCATTACCGTAGAAAATGTATGACAGATATGTATCGTTACGCAACAATTGCATTAATCGACAGTATTGTTCCCGAGAACCTAATTATAGGATGAATTTAGAAAACATATCCGCGTAACATTATACGTCGAATTTCCTCGAGGCATTAGCCGATGTGTAATAATCCACCGATAGCGAATTAATCGGGAGCCTACACAGCTATACGACGTAAATTAGCTATTAAATTTCCATAATCGTACCAGTAGTTAATTCGTTGATCGTAAACGCGTAATTCGTCGGTTTATTAAAAATTCATGTAAGATTATTTCTTACATTATCGGTTCGAGTAACGTTCGACGATTATTAAATGATATCGGGAAATCGAAAGTAAGAATAATAAGTCTTTCAATTAAAATTTGCACCCGTGCCGGCAGCAGTCGTGAAAAAATGACGCGTTGTAAACTTTCATGCCATATTTCTAAAAGAATTCATGTTCGAGTCGCGTTCGGTATAAGCATCGATCAAAACGAAATTGTTTTGTCAAAACTGAAAGAACGATTGCGTTTTTAGTAAAATATAGATACACTTACGTGCTTTTCCATGTATCTTACGTTTTATATTTCTTCGATACAAGTTTTGTACTTTAGTCGTTAGTAATTCTAGCGCTAACGATAATCCTTGATCTTTCTTCTTAATAATAATCCTTTCGTTGCTACTTTCTTTCTTTTTTAAATTTTATTCGGCAAATACAACCAACAAAGCGTACGCTGAAACTACTGTTACCAAACTTTCCAAGACTTTTATATTTTAACCGATAGATATCGCAATCGTATTAACTTTCCCGCAACATCTCATTTTTGTTTGCAATCGAAACTTCTTCTCGCAATATCTAATTTTTCTTTCAAATTAAAAATCCTTCTTGTTCAAGCAACTTTTTTCTTCCTCGCTTCTTCGCTTCTTTACCTGTTTTTAAATATCCACCGTACATCGTCTGTTTGCATCCCTTTTGTTTATTTTCACCTTATTACGCTCACGTTTCTGTTTACTTGTTTTGTCTGCTTAAGCGGGTTTGTGCCCATACGCGACGAAACGAAAAAATAAATAAAATCAACGTATCGCTCGAGCTGCCATATGGAAACAGATCTGAACATCGCCTGGTATATTTTTCACATGCACGTACATACGTACATCGTACCTCGGGCTTCAGCCATTAATCCGCAATTGGATTTCGCTATGAATTCTCTATCGATCGTATTCTCTGCCTATTCGCCGCGTTTCGTTTCAAACGTACCTTCCTTCCTTCGTCGATAGAAAATGTTCGTCCGATTCATCCGCTAATCGAGATTAATGGGGAACGAGATCACTGATCGAACGTAACATTCCTATACCTCCGAACGTATGCACTGAATGTTAATTAATCTTATCCCCCGTAGCTACGAAATTCGTCTTCTACACGCCAGGCGTCTATAGAATTGCGACGTTGATTCAATGGAAAGGAGATAGATTCGATGAATCGTCCGTTGCATCGATCGCTGCACTCAGTAGGTGCGGTTATACAATGAAACTAGGATTGAAATTTCTTAATGGCATATGAGAAATGTGAAAGTTTTAGGCGTTAACGATTAGGTAAAAATATTTGCTATTTTCTGCACGATTAAGAGTAATTTTTTGAATAGCAGAATTTAATCATTTTATCGTGGATAGTTTGTCAAAATATTGTTCCTCCCACTTTGTACGAAGATGTAGTTATTTTAGAATTTGCAAGTTATCGATCAGTCTGGCTCGAGTACGTATAAAATAATTTAATTTTTGATTAAATGTAAATAGTTTCCGACCATTGACAAACTTCTACGAAGTATTGCATTATCTTTCTAACATGCCCGGAGAGAAAACGAACATCGGCGTGAAAGAATTATTCAAGCTTAAAAGTAACTATGTGCAACGTACCTTTTAACAAGTTCTTTTTGTCGTAGGAAAGCGTTTTTCCAATGATCTCTTTCAGTTATCGCATTGGTTAATATCGAATTTAATTTCGTTCTCGCTCGTACAGCATCGGCGTTAAGCTTTCGAAGCTCTAAAACAAATTTAACTCCATGTCAGTTTTCTCACATAGTATTCGCGTTTATTGCTGTTTGACTCGCGAATACAATGGGTTTTTCTATCGATTCGTTGCAATTTGAAATAGATTTATATACCTGCAGACATTTCGAATATGGTACGCGATCGAATCATCTTAATGTTTATACTTCTTGGTCACTTTTCTTAAAGGGAATGTTTAAAGGATTCAAGTGGAATTTGAAAAAAATTTATTTATGAAATATCTAAGACACGGAATTTAGAAAGAAATTAAATCTATGAAATTTCCGAGGCATTCGAATGGAACTTAAGTGGAATTCGTGCGTAATAAAACTATTGTGCGATGATAATAAGAGAAAAGAAAATGCTTCCACCGAATTGCATAAATTTGCGGCTCTTGAACCGGAGGAACACATACCTCGCCGATGGTGGAGATAATTCGATCGAGTTAATTTGAGAATACTGCACGTAACCAACTGCCTATTTAGCGTTAACAAGTCAAGCAGAACTGCCGGAAGGTCTCTTGTGTTCCTGTTATGTGACTTGATGCGAATTCCCCGAGGTTCTCTATTATTTACTCTATGCTAACAACGTGAAAAGGGTAATGGGGCCAGGGAAATATTTCGTCTCGGTTGAAGTCGTGCAATGACTTTTGTTTTATATCGTTAAACAAGCATCGCGGAATAAAGTTTTATTCCACTTGTTATTCTAGTATTCCATTACTGGCGTGTTTATGTAAGGAACTGCTTACGAAAAGATCATAAAAGATTCAACGATGAAACGAGAAAGGGATTCATCGTGATAATCATGCACCCAACTTTTTCAAATTTACGATCCGAACGAGGCAAAGTACTAAACTTAAACCGAAAATTTCAAGCCAACGCTGGATCAAGGTATGATGTCCTTATTTTGGAAGGTAATTCCAGGAAAATTGACGTTGTAAAACGTGATCGAAATATCAGTCGCTATCCCTAGATCTGTTCGAGCTGGATACCATGTCAAAAGTTAGGATAGTCGGATGCTATTATATGTAAAAAAATCGCTGTCGCAAAATGTTCTAACGTTGAAATGGATGAAACTGTGCTGCTTATTTCGACATTATCGAAAACAGACTCTTGGCAAACTCGAATGATCGAAACACGACAATCGGACTTCTCCAATTAGCCATCTGTCTAATTGTATCTTACAAGCCTTACATTACTATAATTAGATTCTGTAATTCTAGTCACATCGCGATCGATATTCCTAACTACGATCTTATCATGATTAATTGAAATTGTGTTTCGCAAGTTCGATATTATTGGAATCAAGTTTCAAACATAAGCTGTAATTGTCGAAAGTACGACTGATTGATTTTTAATCTTATTACGGTTCTCAACCTTTATACATAAATTTCACGCGAGGTATCAAGTATACTAAGGACGATTCTTTCGTTTCTTCCTCTTTAAAAAATTTCTTAACGATAGGAAAACGCGATTCTGCTGACAAATGTTTACAAATTCTTTTTATAATTGCCACCGAGAGACCGTGATTAGTGAATTAACGCGTTAATAATGTGTTAATAGGGTAACGCGAAAGATATTCTCGGATTTGTTAAAAAGTTCTTTAAAGCGAAGGCAACGAACGAATGACTGTCGCGACCTACCTTCACTTTCAAGCTTCGTACGATTAAACTGAAGTTCCAGGCGAGCTTGTGACTGTAGGTTGATTTCGAAAGCTCGCTCGAGCTGGAAAAACTTGGTCCTCAGTTCGCTGAGGTTTCGACGCAATTCCGAGGCTTCGGATTCCGTTCTTTGCAATTGCTCCTCACGATATCGTTGCCGCGAGTCCATCCTTTCTGTAATTATTTTAATTAAGTCACCGATTTCGATCCAGTAAAAACAGACCGTGACCATTAACCGAAGAAAATGTCTTTACCAGTTTTTAAAATGAAACTTTCTTTATTTCTCGCATCGGGAAATCTGAACAACATCGACGAGTTAAATTCTATCGAGCGTGACATTTTTACATACCAAACGAAACGTATTTTGTGATATAAATAACGCTTGCATTTTTTCCACTGCCAGTGAAATTTACTTTTCCGTGTTGAACGAAGAAATTTTTTGGCGTTTTCAACGCCAAAATTTTTTGAAATTTTGTAAGAGACGCGAATATTCATACGGTTAACGGGAAAATCGATCGTTAAGGTTGTTTCGATGCAATTAGGGTTATTTACAACTACAGCTGCAATGTATATTAATTTTCAATCTTTCAAGATTTTCTATCCAAATATTTGCCACAGTTTTATATGCAGACGTATAAAAGGTTTTTACTATTATTGTAAACCGCGTAAATTGCAATTTTACATATATTTCTATTAATTACTTGGAAACCTACAAAACGGTATCGAGCCACCGAAATAATTATTATTTTTTACTTACAAACCATTGGATAATCGCAGATCTGGTA